TCCCCCTTCCCACCCGGGTTCCCTGTTTCCATTCTTCAGGTTTTCCTGTCCCTTCCTGCTATCTAGGCTTTGCTTGCGGGCAGGTGTTGCCCATTTGGTCTTATTTACATGATAAAACTAAGAAGCACGTTCCTCACGTGTTATTGTTTGTTTTATGGGCCTGTCTAATCTTTGGCTGAAAGGTGGACTTCGGCAGTGGCTTCAGTTCTGAGTTAGCAGAGTGTCTGGGGGCCATAGTCAAGGGGGTTCCTCCAGTCTCTGTCAGACCAGTAAGTCTGGCCTTTCGTGTGTGTGGAAAGCAGGTCTTAAAGCTTCAGAAGTCATTTTTGAGTCCCACTTGAATCTCCTTAAGGCTTTTTGGTTTTGTTTTATGGAGTGAACCAATACCTGGGCTTTGAAAAATAATGAAATCAATACACTGCTACATTTTCAAAACAGAAGATGACTGTACCATATTGCAGCTGAACCTATATTCTCGTCTTCCTCACATTTGAGGTTAATGTGTTTGTCTTCCCTTATCCAAGTGAAACTTTGCTCTTAGAACAGAGCCCAATGCATAGTAGGGTTCCAGTAAATATTTGTTTAAGTAACTAACGTCCTGTGGATTTGGGGTCAAAATTATTCTTGCCTAAATGCGCTCCTTGGAAACACTAAGAGGCAGTTCTACTCTGTCCTGTAGGGTCGCTATGAGTCAGAACGGACTCGAGGGCAATGGGTTTGGTTTTTTTTGGAAACGCAGCGTACGCCCGTAGATATTGCGTATGTCTTTTCTCCCTCCTTATCCCTTCTTTTAAAACTGTCAGCGGGTATTTTTTTTTTTTTAATTACCGTTCAGTAAAATTGACTTTTTTGGTGCACAGTTCTGTGAATTTTAACACACTTAAGTTTTATTGTTGCAATTAATATTACTCAGCTGTGGATCTGCTTCCTCCAGCTGTTCTACTCGTCTAGGTATGTGGGCTGAAGAATACTGGCCCCCAAAGACGCCCACGTCCTATTCCTTGGAACTTGTGAATATGTTACCTTACATGACAAAAGGGACTTTGCAGATGTGATAGAGTTAAGGACCCTGAGATGGGGAAATTACCCTGCATCGCCTGTGTCCTTGTAAAATGGAAAAGGAGGTGTCAGAGGCCTCTGGAGTCAGGGAATGCAAGAAGCCTCTAGAAGCTGGAAAAGGCAAGGAAATGGGTTATCTTCCAGAGCCTCCAGAAGGAACGCAACCCTACTGACCCATTTTAGATTTCTGACTTCTGGAACTGCAAAATAATAAATCTGTGTTGTTTTAAACCACTGAATTTGTGGTAATTTGTTGCAGTGGCAGTAGGAACCTAATACCCTAGATTTGTTTTCTGATTATTCTAGAAGTTTTGATTTGATTGCTCTGTGCAGTGTTCCTCTCTCTGGCTTCTGAGCCCTTCAGGTGGGCACTTATTTTTTGCTTCGGTACAATGGGGCACAGGTCTGGTTGCCAGAAACTTCTTAGCTGTAGGAATCCTGCAGGCAGTAGAAAATAGATGATTTCACGCCCTGGGGGCCTGTGGTTGATAAGCAAGATGTCTGCCCCTCGGGAAGCCCCTGGGGAAGTGTTTTAGCCACTCAGCCTCGAAGGCAGAGAAGCCCCAGGCCACCCACTGCTCCCACTCACCTGCTGCACTCTCTCAAGGCTGATGCCGAAATGGCCGCATGAAGTCCACAGGCGCTGCCGAGTCGATTCCAACTCATGGTGACCCCTATGTGTGTCAGAGTAGAACTATGTTCCATAGGTTTTCAATGACTGATTTTTCCAAGGCAGATCACCAGGCCCTTCTTCCGAGGTGCCTCTGGGTAGACTCAAACATTCAACTTTCTAGTCAGCAACCAAACATGTTAACTGTCTGCACCACCTTATGGAGATGTGTGCTATTATCATCTCTGTTTTCCAGATGAAGAAATTGAGGCCCTGAGACGTTTCGTGACCTGCTTGAGACCCCACTTCTTGTTATCGAGCCAGTACTCTACTCCTAGAATCCCCTCCCCAAGTCCCAGTGAAACAAAATGTCTCCTCAGAAGGCCCAGCAGCTACGGGTGCCCTTCAGGGACACACTTATTCACCCCGCCGCCTCTGCGGGGCCTGGGCCCGTCCTAAACCCTGAACACATCACCAGGGACTCCCCTCTACCCCGTGCATTCTCCACATTCACTGTGGCTGCAACAACCTTTTCACTTGGCCATTTCTAGCTACTGACTGCTCCCAAAAGGGTTTTAACGAAAATCCATGACGTGCCTATTAGCTGGGAAAACATTTATTCTGGTGTTGTCAGAGAATCTTGGGCAGAAAGGCTCCTCTTGGCTTGTGTGGATGTGCACGTGAGCACATGAGTATGTGTGTGTGCTGTGTGTGTGAGCCCATGTGTGCACCTGTAGATGTGCGTGTATGCATGTGTCCACGTGTACACGTGTGGATGCGCACGGATGTGTGTATGTGTATACACATTTGGGTGCATGTACAAGAAAGCACATCTTTTTGTTTTCTTTTGAAAGCAGAGTTTTTGTTATTAAAGATTCCGTGATGAGAGGCTCCTGACTGATTCTGACCCACCTATGACTCATCACCAGCTGTTGCCATTGAGTGGACTCCAACTCATGGCCACCCCACATGTGTCAGAGTAGAAGTGTGCTCCATAGGGTTTCAGTGGCTGATTTTTTGGAATAGGTCACCAGGCCTTTCTTCCAAGGTGCCTCTGGGTGGACTTGAACAACCAAATTTTGGTTAGCAGCCGAGCACGTTAATATGTATATAATATGGAGAGATCTCTCTGACTATTCATCTATCTATCCATCCATCGTATCGGTCCTATTTCTGTGGAGAACCCTAACTGATACGTTTCAAAAACCAAACCAAACCCGTTGCAGTAAACACAATTCCAACTCACAGCAACCTTATAGGATAGAGTAGAACTGCCTCATAGGGTTTTCAAAGAGCAGCTGGTGGATTCAAACTGCCCACCTTCTGGTTAGTAGCTGAGCTCGTAACCACTGTACCACCAGGGCTCTGTACAGTATGTCAGGAAGGGCTAAATGCTATGAAGAAAATCGAAACTGAGAAGGGAGCTTCGGAGGGAAGGGGGTGAGAGGCTGCTTTAAATAGGGGAGACAAGAGGCCTCACTACAGAGGCATTTGAGCAAAGACCTGAAGGAGGTGAGGGAAGGAGCGTGCAGATATCTGCTGGGAAAGTATTCCAAGCAGAGGGGACTGCAGGTGCAAAGGCCCTGAGGTAGGACCCCTGCCTGAAGATGTTAGAGAACATTAACATCCTCCTCTCCCTGCCATTTTCTGTCTCAAAATTGACAAGCACAAGTGTCACTCCGCCTCAGGGCTGCAGAAAGCCTGCAGCATCTCTCCCTGTGACCCGGCAGCCGTCTCTTTAACCTTGAGTGCCTTTTTGGGTCTCACGTGTCAGCCAGCGACAAGTGAGCTGCCGTTATTTCAGAAGAACGGCATGGGGTGGGGGTGGGGGCCTTAGGTGGTGTCTGCCTCACCTATTACTGCCAAAAGTGGTCATGGGGTTATTTTTAAACATGGGGAGGAAGTATTTATTGTTTCTGGGCGGAGGAGAGCCAGGCAGCGGGTGGAATTCTTCTAGAGGAACAGTGTTGAGGCAGCTCTGTCACTGTTCTCTCCACCATGGTGAGTAGCTGAGTAGCCAGGGCTCTGGAGCCAGTGATGCTGGAGAGACAGGGCGCCACCTGCATGCAAGGGCTAGGAGGGGAGAGGGAGAGGATGCCTGCCAGGGACTGGACCCCAGACCCTTGTGGGGAAAACACAGCTAGCTGCGTGTGCCCAGAGGAACCCCAATCAATGCCCCGATAGGCCACAAAGGAACAGCAGCCCCGGGGACTCGCAGAAACAAAATAAGAGAGTTGGCTTTTTCATGGCTTGTCTACTGACCTCTCACGGAATCAATAACTCCCAGGGCTTGCAAAATGGGATTGAGCGCTTTTAAGGATCAAATTGTAATTCTTTGCTCTTGTTCAGGCAGCTGGGGAAAAGAAGCTTTTTGTGTTCACCTTTTGAACTTGCCAATTTAAAATCTTTCTTCTTGTGTCGTTTTGGTTGGGTGCCCTACTCCCCCAAACCAAGCAGCCCCCCAAATCAGGGTCACCATCGAAAAGAGATTAGGGGCACAAACTCCAGAGTCACACTGCCCAGGTTCAACTCCGGCTCTGCCTTTGCGAGGCTGTGTGACTTTGGGCAAGTGACTTAACCTCTCTGAGTGTCAGTTACCACTTCTTAAAATGAAGTCGGTAATAACAGCATCTACTTGACAGAGCCGGTGTGAGGATTAAATGAAACAATGTATGTAAAGTACTTAGAACACTGAGCATTGTGTGCTTGCATACGTTATGTGGTATTATTTAAAGCCAGAGAAACAAGAGATGGTGAAAGATGTCCGCTTGCTCTTCTCTGCGCTGTTCACACGATGCGAAGACAGTACAGTCAGAGAGGAGATTTCACGGCTGTTTGGATCAAGGGAATGTTGGGGCAGGGAGCAGTTGGGTTTTAACTCCCTGAAAACTGTCATTTTGTGTCCGCATTCTTCACGGTCCAGGGAGCCTGACTTTTTCTTTTCCCCGAATCAATTCACCTTCTGTGCATTACTGAGGTTTTTGTGAAAAACCATCAGGATGAAAGCAGCTGGTTCCTGCCCAGGCTGATCTTTAAGTGCGGCCTCCATCCCTGGAGACAAACAACCTCCACTGTCTCCTGGTCTGCAGAGGAGCCGCAGCAAGACCCACAACATCTTAAGGTTCACCAGAGCCAGGTTGCTCTGGGGAAACTTTAGTTTTTGTGCTTTTATCCCTCCAGCGTCCCCCTTTGGGGTATGAGCGCAGGTATCGTATCCCTATTTCACAGATGAGCAGCTGAGACCTTGAGACATGCACAAACTTGCCCGACCCAGTCTTCTCATTCCCGGCCTCAGACTCTTTCCATCAATGCTTCGTTTTTCCCAGGCACCTAAGAAAGCCAAGAAGAGAGCAGATGGCGCCAACTCCAACGTGTTCTCCATGTTTGAACAGACCCAAATCCAGGAATTTAAGGAGGTGGGTGCTGCCATTGAAATCTTCTGGATGGAAACTCTCACCCACTAGAGAGAACCTTTCCCTCATTCCATACTACCATCCTCCAAAACCAGTAGCCGTTGAGTAGACTCCGACTTGTGGCGACCTCCATGCATGTCAGAGTAGAACCGTGCTCCATAGGGTTTTCAAAGGCTGATTTTTTTGGAAGTAGATTGTCAGGCCTTTCTTGCTAGGTGCCTCTGGGTTGATTCAAACCACCGCCTTTTTGGTTAGCAGCCAAGCACATTAACTATGACTAAATGGCTCCCCGAAACACTACCAATTTCTACTCCCATCAGCCCCAAAAGGAGAGTGTTGCCTTCCCACCTCCCCCCCATCTCCACCAACATTGGGTATTAATATTTTTAAATGCTTTTGCCAATCTGAGAGGTGAAAAATAATATCACCTGATGTTTTATATGTACAGTCTTTGATCATTGAGCACCAGCCCTGTCTGAAACCCTTATGGAAATGTGCCTTGTTAAGCAAATCTAAATACCAAATTAAGCAGATGACCACAGGTTAGAAGAACAGACTCTTGATTAATTTTCCAGCAGTCATGATGGCTCCCACCAAGCCATCCACACTCCCACCTGGCCCTTCAGAGGAAAATATGCTAAAACTATTCTAAAGAGGAGGGCACTGGTGGTTCAGCGGTAGAATTCTCACCCTCCATGTAGGGGACCAGGGTTCGATTCCCAGCCAATGCATCCCATGTGCAGCCACCACCCGTCTGTCAGTGGAGGCTTGCGTGTTGCTAGGATGCTGAACAGGGTTCAGCGGAGTTTCCAGACTCAGATGAACTAGGAAGAAAGGCCTGATGATCCACTTCTGAAAATCAGCCAATGAATACCCTAGGGATCGCAACAGTCCGACCCTGTTGTATGGCTAACGACATCAACAATGCTAAAGAGACTGGTGTGTTTTATATCAAAGGGGGAACAATTTCGGGCTTCCAAGTGGGACATGAACGCTTGTACCTTTTGTCCCCACCAACATTCAGATCATAGGAATGTCATGTCCCATAGGCCACCAGGGAAAGAGGAATTCCTAGGAAAAAATGTCATATCTGAACTTGAAATAGCCACCTTCCAGGGAGAAAGCTATGCCCACCCCTTCTCCCTTGCCCTGCCCCACCCTCTGGAATGAGGTCAGCTGCTGGGGTGTGGGTAGGGGGTGTAAATACTTTCAGGAACCACCTGCGGCAAAGATCCCGAAAAACACACAGATGAAATTGCATTTGTAAAATACTTGGGTATTACAAAGCTCTTGGAGTCTCCCTCGGAGTTCGATGGGAAAAAATACTGGCCCCGTTTTATAAGTAATCCAGGCTTGGGGCGTGGGGGAGGCAGATGAGGCCCCAAGCTTTAACTCTTTAGTAACAGCTTTTGTTGTTGTTAGGTGCTATCAAGTCAATCCTGACTCATAGTGACCCCTTGTGACAGAACAGAACTGTCCCATAGGGTTTTCTAGGCTGTAATCTTTACAGAAGCAAATTGCCAGGTCTTTCTCCCTTGGAGCTACTGAGTGGATTTGAACTGCCAACCTTCCAGTTAGCAGGTTAACCACTGCACTGCCAGGGCTCCTTAATAACAGCTTTATAGAGATATAATCCAACAGCATAAAATTCACCCTATTAAAATGTACAGTCCCGTGGTTTTAGCAAATTCACAAAGTTGTGCAACCATTTCCACATCTAACTTCAGAACATTTCCATCACCCCAAAGAGAAACCCGAACCTATCAGCAGTCACTCCCTATCCCCTCCCTCCAGTCCTTCCAAACCAAACCAAACCCACTGCCATCAAGTCGATTCTGACTCATAGCAACCCTGTAGGACAGAATACAACTGCCCCATAGGGTTTCCGAGGCTATAAATCTTTACAGAAGCAGACTGCTATATCTTTCTCCCAAAGAGCTTCTGGAGGGTTCTATCCACTGACCTTTCAGTTAGCAGCTGAGTGCTTAACCACTGTGCCACCAGAGCGTCTCTCTCCAGTCCTTAGGCAACCACTAATCTACTTTCTGTCTCTATGGATTTGTTCATTCCGGACATTTCGTAGGAATGACTCATACAATATATGCCCCATTGTGTCTGGCTTCTTTTACTTAGTGTAACATTTTCAAGGTTCATCCATGTTGTAGCATGTATCAGAACTTCATTCCTTTTTATTGTTGAGTAGTATTCCTTTGTGTGAATACATTATATTTTATTTATCTATTCATCAGTTGATGGGCATTCGGGATGTTTCTGTTTTTGGATATCATAAATAATGCTGCTATGAACATTGGTGTACAGGTTTTTGTACGGATACACGTTTTCAGTTATCTCGGGTATATACCTAGGAGTCCCTGGATGGCACAAATGGTTAAACACTTAACTACTAGCTGAAAGGCTGGGTTCAAATCTACCCAGAGGTGCTTCAGAAGACAGGCGTGGTGATACGCTTCCGAAAGGCCGCAGCCTTGAAAACCGCATGGAGCAGTTCTACTCTGCACACACGGGGTCGCCATGAGTCGGAATCCACTTGATGGTATCTAACCAACATCTGCCTAGGAGTGGAATTGCTGGATTATATGGTAATGTATAAAGCTTAATGTTTTGAGGAACCACCAGACTTGTTTTCAGTCTTTGATTCTTTATCTAATGTCCTGCAATGCTAATCAAAGATCCCAGAATCCCACATGCTTCCCCAAGCCCTTGGCCCAACCCCTTGGGCTTCCCACCACATGCCTCCTGGGTTGACCAGCCAACCATCTCCTTCTGCAGGCCTTCACCATCATGGATCAGAACAGGGATGGCTTCATTGACAAGAATGACCTGAGAGACACCTTCGCAGCTCTTGGTGCGTCATACCCCCTCCCCAAACTCTGCACAGGAGTCTCCTTATCCCAGGCCCATGAGGGGTGGGAAGTGGGGCCATCAGACAAGTTCAAGAGCTTGTCCTTTTCCAAGGCAGCAGCTCGACTGACATTGGCCTTTAAGACAAATTCAGAGTCATTGAGTGTCTCCACATATCTTTTCTTTTTCTTTTAAAATAAGGTTTGTGTGATTTTGAAGACAATGCCAGGTAGCAACAGAAAAGTTGGAAAATTCAGAAAAGTATTAAGGACGAAATAATCACCAGCCATAAGGCCACATTCCGTCTTTAACACTTCAGTCTTCTTCCTCTAAGTCTTTTCTAGGCATATCTGGGTTTTTGTTTTTTGTTATTTTCAAGTAAACATTTTTAACACTTTTATTTAACTTCTCTAGAGTGTGAACATGGATGCACGGAGCTTTTTCAAAATATACAAACCCAACATGCCACCCCCGCCCATCCCCAGGAACTCAAGGCCACCATGAACAGCTGTGCAAGCTGTGCACTGCACAATTCTACAGGAGACTAACTACATTCGTAGCCACTGTAGATTTTTACATTTAGAACATACAAGCGATTTAAACAGAGGTGGCTTTTTCTAATTTGCACAAAGGTGCTATATGGGCTTACGGCAGAGGCTACAGCAGGTGTACCAGAATCTCCAAGGCTGGGGCTTACAGCAGGTATAATTTGAAAAAATTCCCCCACATGATTCTGATCTATCTCTTCTACTTCCAGCGGAGAAGGGCTAGTTTATAATATGTGTATTTCCCAGTTGAATAAAAAATTAAAATATCTATAAAATGTTCCAGCTTCTGAAGATGTCATCCTTTAAATAACTCCTCTCCATATTGGATATTAGGTTGGTTTCAATTTTCTGGCTATTATAAATAATACGGTTGAGAAGAATTTCCTGTGTGAACCTTTGCCCCCACCCACCCGTCTCTGAATATTCCTTACACTAGATGCCTGGAAGGGGAAATGCTAGTTTCCTATTGGCAGAGGCATTATCTACGGAAAATGGCGCCTATGGGACGCACTGAAATTGCGCCCCTGCAGCGGCGTGGGGAGGGGGCGGGGGGCCGTACCGAGCGCGCAGGGGCAATCTCTAAGTTGCACCCCCACCCTCCCAATTTCAAGATAAATAGACTTGGATAGCGGCAACACGTCAGCCGAAACGCCTTACCTCCGCTCGTCTGGCTACCTCAGTCAGACACCTTTCATATTTGTGGCACCTTAGAATGTCATTCCGCACCCCTTTGGACTTGCACGCCGGGGCAATGCCCCATCTACCTCCTCTTGCTATGCTTCTGCGCCCCTATCCAAACATCTGACACCCATCTCTTAGATAACTGTACCATAATGGAAACCCTGGTGGTGTAGTGGTTAAGAGCTACGGCTGCTAACCAAAAGGTTGAAAGTTCGAATCCACCAGTCGCTCCTTGGAAACCCTGTGAGGCAGTTCTACTCTGTGCTATAGGGTCGCTGTGAGTGGGAATCAACTCGACGGCAATGGCTTGGGTTATGGGTACCATAATATACAAAAAAAAAAACAAAACCATTGCCGTTGAGTCAGTTTTGACCCATAGCGACCCTAGAGGACAGAGTAGAACTGCCCCATGGGTTTCCAAGGAGCGGCTGGCAGATTTGAACTGCCGACGTTCTGGTTAACAGCCGTATCACTTAACCACTGCATACCATAATATCAGCTCAAAAATACAAGTCAGGCTGGTTAATCTTTTACTTAACACATTATGGCACTACATGAAAATTACAACTGTGCCTTCCTTGCTTTCACCGATGACAACTGGTCTATGATGTGCCCGAAGTCATTTTCTGTTTCTTCTCTTTCTACACTCAGCAGAGCAAAATCACACAGCCTGCCTTGACCCATGGAGGTTCTCAAATACCAAAGTATTAGTTTTCACTCACTGAATAATCTCTCACAGCTGGCGACAGAAACTGCCATGGTTACCAGAAACTACTCGGTGGCATCCCCCCCGCCCCCAACACACAAGTTGCGCCCAGGGCCCGAGGCTTACCTGCCATGCCTTAGACACCCTCTGCCTATCTGCCGTTTCTCTCCCAGCTCGGGATCCCTGAGTGTGTATTTCTTGCCTTAGGGCGTGTTAATGTGAAAAATGAAGAAATTGAAGAAATGATCAAGGAAGCTCCGGGTCCAATTAACTTTACTGTGTTTCTGACAATGTTTGGGGAGAAACTGAAGGGTAAGCTCGTGTATGTCTGCCTCTCTGTGTGTGTGTCTGTGTTTCTGTGTGTCTGCATCTTTGGCATGAACTGAAGCCCTAGAAGAACAGACAGGGGTTGGCAGAACGTGGGTAGCTTTCAAGGACGCAGAAGTACCATGGGGAAAAAATCATACTAATAGCAGCTAACGTTGCTCCAAGCTTTCCCTAAGCCAGACTTTTTGCTAGCACTTTGCACGTATTACCCCATTTAATAGCACGTATAAGGTGGTCTATTATTATCCCTAATCTATGGATGGGGAAACTGAGGCTCAACGACAGAAAGTCACTTGCCTGAGGCCACACAGCTAGCAAGTGCCAGAGCCGGGATTCAGACCTTGGCCTTCATAAATCTAAATTCATATTGGAACTTGAGTGTGATCAGAAAGAACTTTGTTCTCAGACCTCTCTCCCTTCCCCAGGGACTAGATTTCCCTTTCAAAATCATGAGGCTCAGTGCTCAGAGGCAGGCAGGGTCTTCTCCAAGCTATGTAGCCTTGTCTGGCCCCTGCATCTTTGGGGGGATTTGGGGTACCACTCGTTCCCAGCCACCCATGGCACATTTGAGCCCTATGTTGCATTTCAGGAGCAGATCCCGAGGAGACCATCCTCAACGCGTTCAAGGTGTTTGATCCCGAAGGCAAAGGGGTGCTCAAGGCTTCTTAGTGAGTGGGGTTTGCAGGGGAGGGGTGAGACACCCTGCTCCCCGCTGCCACCTGGCACCCACACCTGCTCTTCTCTCCCTGCAGCGTTCAGGAGATGCTGACCACCCAGGCGGACAGGTTTTCCAAGGAGGAGGTAACAGGGTCCTCTGGACACCCACTAATCCTGGCTCCTAAGCTCATCCTTCCAGGGACTTCCTCTCCCCCTTTTCTAAAATACCCCTGAGCCCCACACTGGGAGAGAATCACCTATTGTTTATTGAGCCCTTATTTCATTCTTTGTTATTTTCATTTTACAGATGGGGAAACTGAGTCCCAGGGAAGTAAACCCATTTGCCTTAAAATCATAACACTAATGGCAAATGCCAGAGCCTAGATTTGAACTCAAGGAACCCTGGTGGCACAGTGGTTAAGTGCTCGGCTGCTAACTGGAAGGTCAGTGGTTCAAACTCACTAGCCGCTCCTCAGGAGAAGGATGTGGCAGTCTGCTTCCGTAAAGATTACAGCCTTGGAAACCCTATGGGGCAGTTCTACTCTGTCCTATAGGGTTGCTATGAGTCGGAATCGACTTGACGGCAGCAAGGTTTTTTTTTTTTTTTTTAATATTCAAACCCAGGTCCATCTCACTCCAGGTACTGCCTTCCTCACAATCCATGGAAATCTCGGAGACCTGGTTAGAGCATCAATTTCCTGTCTGAGGAAGGGTGATACGCAGGGCTGCCATGTACTGTGGTGTAGGTTGTGCACTGCACAACTATCAGGGATGCCTTCCTAGTAGTATACATCATGGATTTACATTTGTTGCAATAGTTGTCCAGCAGGTGGCAGTAAAGTGTCTTTTTTTTTAAATCATTTTTTTTATATATATATATATATATATAAAATCTTTTTCTGGCAGGTGGCAGTAATGTGTCTGGAAGAAGGGGCACTTTTGCCAACTGACCAAAGGCGCCATATAAGCAAGCAGTACTTTTGCCAACATTATTACTAAACCTTAATGACTATTTAAAATGGACCCTTGTAGCCTCTCAGGCCTGTTTCCATCAATTTCCACATTTTACTAAAAATACTAGATTTTCAAACATACACACACACACAGTCAAGCAGTTAAAAGAGCCTGCCTTCACCACTCAGCAGCTGTGTGAATTTGGACAAGCTCCTTAACCTCACTGTGCCTCCATTTCCTCATCTGTAAAATAGGATAATAGAACCTACATTGTGAAGATTAATGAATTAGTAAGTGTAAAGCACTGATACGTAATAACGCAATGTAAGTGTTAGCGACTATTAGCCAATTATTTTAAATATTCAATATTTTTTAAATAGGAAATCACATGTTACCAAAAAAAATCTAGATTTCTGGTTCCCCTGGAAGAATCAGACCTCCTTGCCCATGTGACCACATTTGGCTGGCACTGAGCAGTTGCTGCCCCCTGTAGATGGGGCGCATGTCTGCATTTAGCCACAGTCCCCACTAGGCACTCTTGGCTTACATAGGTAACCCACCTGGCCCCTCTGGACACCTGAGTTTTCGACCTCTGCCCATGGTCACAGGTTGGGCTCCCTGGGAACATACCCACAGGATGTTTATTTGGGAGACCCCTTGGGATCAACACCTGTGGGAGGAAGGGCAAGGACTCAGGAGTGGGCAGAGGGAGAAGATAGCATCGGGGAGCGCTGGAGCTAGAATGGCCCTTCAGAGAGGTCCTGAATAGCCAGGCCTTTATACCCCTGCACAGATCAGTTATTGGCTGTGGGCTGCCCCAGGAAAGGGGTCAACCTTGAATGAGGCACTCTCTGCAGCAGCTGAGCAACAAGTCCTTTCATGGAGAGGGTCTAGGCAACACGTGCCCATGTCTACTAGACCCCCCAGCTGCCTCTCCACTCTAGCCTGCTTGCACGCAGGTGTCCCTTCCAGTCCCCTCCCACTGTCCTCAGTGCATCTTTCGGTTGGTTGCAGATTGAGCAGATGTTTGCCGCGTTCCCCCCTGATGTGACTGGCAACTTGGACTACAAGAACCTGGTGCATATCATCACCCACGGGGAAGAGAAGGACTAAGGGGGGACTTTGCCTCCTGACCCTGGGCTTGTCTCCGCGGGAGCAGGGTCCCTGCCCTCATCTCACTCTGCCTGGCAGCACCGCCATCCCCGCCCCCAGCTTATTAGCTGTGTAGCTGCCTCAATTATCCACCTTCGTCTTCTTTGCAGCCTGTGGCTGATACATACCACTTGGCCACCCATCCTACAGATGGAAATCCATCCAAAGGCCAAATTCAAATAAACAAGAGGTTGTGTATTTGCTTATAACATTTTTCTGACAGATAGGAGCACCTTGAGAAAGGCTGGCCCTGTGCTCATTTGCACAAAGGCGACATATGAGCTGGCGGTGGCCCTGATGTCACTGTTATTGAATCTTCATGACTCTTTACTTATAATAGCCCCTGGCAGCCATTCAGGACTGTTTCTATCAAGGCCACATTTTACTAGACTGTTAACTGGATGATCACAGCCCTTCCTTCCAAAGAGCTCAAGCAGGTAGAAAGCCTAGATTCCAGGACATCCTTTCCTTTAGGATGCCATTGGAATGTTTCTCCCATGGATATGCTTAGACTGGTCCCTTGATAAATGGAGGAAAGAAGGCTCCACACACATGCTAAGCATAAGGCTCACTTTTCAAAAATCATGTTTGTTAATCATAAGAGATTAATTTCTAATTTCAGATAGAGTAGAAGTTGTCTATACTTCCCTCCTGGCAAACTGGGGAGGGGCATGCAATGATTTCTGACTCAGGCTGGGGTCCAGGAACTGGACCTGGGCATGAGTTGACTCTTGTTTTTGAATGACCAAAGTCATCATTGAAGCATTCAGGACTATTTTGGTTGCAAGAATCCCAACTTACCAAACAAATTGGCTCACACAAATAACAAGTCCACAGGCTTCAGACACAACAGGATCCAGGAGCTCAACAAGATGGCTCCCAGCAGCTCCCAGCTCCTGTCTATCCACGCAGTAACCCTAGTGGAAAGAGTGCAGGTCTCTCCAGATCCACACAAATTCCAGCACAGGGCCTCATGGGATGTCTTTGGGGCCCATGAACCAACCCTGAACCAATCACTTGGACGGGCAGGTGCAGTGCTCTGATTGGCAGACCTGGGTCACATGATTAACTCTCAAGCGAGGGTTGAAACTGCTCCCCCCTCCCACCAACATAGCCTCAGAGTGGGAGCGGCAGTTCCCAAAAGGAAAACCAAGCAAGGTGTTGTTCTGGAAAAAGAGGGAGTGATGTCAGGTACTCTAAGTTTTCAAGAGAATCCCAGGAAAGCAGGATGCAGCCGAAATGATTAACACAAAGAGCCTGAGCTGGATATGGGAGCGGCAGCTGAGGTCACAGAGAGCGTCCAGGAGGTGGCAGGAGACAGAACTGAGTGAGTCTTCAAGGCTAAAGAATAACAACAGTCCCACCCCGACGAGGAGCCTGGGGTCGGCCCATCACTACAACTACAACCTGGCTGCTGGGAACAGGGCCCCATCAAAGCCGGCAGTGAGCGGAGTGGGCAGGGACCTGGGAGTCAGGGCCCCACCCGGCAGTGGCCCACGTCCCTCAGCCTCCCATCGCCTCTAGACACAGCCCAGACTGAGAACCTGCCACCCGGGGCTGCGGCAGAGTGGACAACATGGCTCCGGTCACTGGTTAAGTGCAGTGTGTGGTTCAGAGCAAGACGCCTCGACACAGCTGTGCAACGACACACTCATCCAGAAGAGGCACACAGAGACATGGACACACACACACGCCCAGAGACAGACACACTGACATGCACAGACACACAGAGAAACAGACATACAACGACACACACACAGACACATACACACAAAAACACACAATGACACACAGAGACACACACAAAGAGAAACAGACACACAATGACACTCACAGAAACAGACGCAAACACACACACAGAAAGACATACAATGACACAGGCACACAAGACACAGACATAGACAAGCAGACACACAATGACACACAGACAGAGACACAGACACACACATAAACACAGACACACACACAGAAATAGGCACGCAATGACACACACATACAAAGACACACGCACAGGCACACGTACAAAGACACAGACACACACGCACAGACACAGACACACACACCCCGCCACACAGAGGCACGCACACAGACACCGACACACAGAAGGAGATACAGCCACGCTCTGGGAACCCGCTCCCCAAGCCTCCCCTCTAGCTCCCGGGTCTGGGTCTGAGGCCAGGCCACCAGGTGGGAGAAAGCACCACCCCCTTTAGACCCACCCTACCCCCCAATTTCCTGTCCCAAGAGGGACCCCTGTTTGTTTCACAGGGAAACCCCACCTGACTATAGACAGGAACAGCCAGGTGCAATGGTACATGCCGGAGAGACAGAGACAGAGAGAGAGAGAGACAAAAGAGAGGAGGGGGAGAGAGAAGGAACAGAGAGAGGTTGAGACAAAAAGAGGTAGAGGCAGAGGCAGACTGGGACAGAGAGAGGACAGAGTCAGACAGATGCAGAGAGGATGAATGTACACAGGGAGGTGGCTGTGCCCTTCTGCCCTGGAGGGGTGGGCTACCAGAGGGGGTGACCCCCACACCCACTGGCCCCTCTTCGGCTCCCGGTCATGCCTGTGTGTGATTGCCACGCCCTGTGTGATTCTGGAGTCAGCTGCTCAGTATTTCGGCTCCAACATGGCCCCTAAACTTTGCCCTCACCCCCCATTGCTTCACTGGGGGAACACAGGCTCTTGGGTGCAGCCTGTGCTGGCCCCATTTCACAGGTCTTTGTGGCTGTGTGGACCCCCACTCAAGTCTTGCCTCCTGCACCAATTTTCAAACATGACCCTTCTCCAAGCTGGGATCCGGCTCCACGCCTTGGCTCTTCACCCTCCCCGAGGTGGCTCCCAGGACTCCAAGTCTCCTAGTATAGAGTGTGCAAAGGCACTGAGGTTGTGGAACAAAACATTTACTCTCTGGTTATGGTACAAATGCGGCCCATCCACCCCAGCCTGTTAGCTTCTCCTTTTCAGGTCAATCCTCTCGGCAGTGCTGTCCAAGGGCAGATTTCGAGACTCCCTCACTTTGTACTGGTCGACCACCAGCTGCCGAAGGCTTCCGTGGTCCAGCGGCTGCTCATCTGTAACAGACACAGTGTGTCTGTGAGAGGAGCTTGGAAATCTAACCCAACACCGGGAGCCTCCTTCCCAGGGATGGTGCCTCTCAGCCCCCTTCCCGGATGCCTGTGGCCGGGGTGCCCAAGACTGGTTGGGGGTCATGGAAGCAGAGGGATTAGGAATGGCGTAAGACTCAAGAGCGTAGGGTGAAGGTAAGAGATGGGATCAAAGAACCTAGTGTGGCTGTAACTTGCCAACTTATAAAACTTAGATATTTTAAGGTTTATTTCAAATGGTCACAAAGTCATTGTGATTTTTAAAAATATCTGGGATACAAGCTTTGGGACCTGTGGCTGGGTCACTAGTTGTGTCCCAGGGAGAAAAGCCCCCACGTGAACCACATCAAGTGGCCACAGCCAAGATGGTAGCCAATGGAAGTGATGGGCCAATGAGGGCTCGTAAAGAGGGGGAAACCGAGACTCAACACTGCAGCCCCTCTTGGGCACCTGGACACAGCATCCCCAGCCCTGAAGGCACACGCTTCTTAAGAGCCCCGATCCAGCGGCCTGCGCAGATGAGGAGGGAGAGAGAACTCACAATCATCCAACTTCTCGCTGAGGATGTCCGACCCGAACACAGGGGGGACGACCTTGACAGCTTCTGCCGGCTTGAGGAAAGCAGAGCCACCCCAGAAAGGGTTGACAAAGGGTGGCGGGGTCTCTGTCTCTGCCCCTTCCACCTCCAGGACCCGTCTGTAAGCCTCTAACAGCAGCAAGTCATTGGTCTTCTTTTCAATGATGGCTGGAAAGATATAAGCAAGACCAAGATGGCTGTCAGGAGACCTGGCTCCTGAGGGCAGGACTGGATTAAGGCATGAGACTCACCCAGTAAGCAAGGTAAGCATGGGTTTATTTGTGTTTACTGTTCACTACAGATTAGTAAATAAGCACAAATAAACCCGGGTTTACCTTGTTTATGGGGCAATCAATCCACCCCTGCCTGGTGGATCCTGGCGAGGGGGCGCCCCTGCTGGAGAGGAAGGGAAGGCACAGAAAGTGATTCTCTCTCCCACTTAGCCCCTATAAGAACAAGGTTACACCATGCATTCTCAATGGGGGCAATATCACCCCTACCAGTCACCACAGAGCTGATTCCAAGTCATGATGACCCCATGTGTGTCAGTGTAGAACTGCACTTCATAGGGTTTTCAGTGGCTGTGACCTTTTGGAAGTGGATTGCCAGGCATTTCTTCCGAGGCACCTCTGGGTGGATTCAAACCTCCAATCTTTCAGTTAGTAGTGGAGCCCTTAACCATTTGCACCACCCAGGGACTCCAATATCACCACGAGAAGGTGAAATTTGGTGCTTAAGAGGAGAGACAGATAGAGAGAGAGTGACAGAGATGGAGATAGATCTGACTCTTCTTTACATACAAAGCACAGATATCCATACAGTACATAAACAGATATACAACATATCTATGGTAGTAAGAGTTCATGGGTGGGGCAACTAGGAAAAGAATATCTAAAAAGGTTCCTGGGGAGTAGGCGGGAGGGGGGAAAGATAATGAAAACAAATTTGAGAAACGCTGGATTACATTAAAATGTGAATTGGAACCCATAGTGGCCAGCTTCAGTGCCCACACGCTTACCACCAAGCTCACTGCCTCCAGAAGAACAAGTCCCCATGCCTGGTCACAGAACATTCTGGAAATGGTACCCAAGGACCTCAAGGGCCCCTGCCTGACTCACCAAAATACTGCGGAAGGTTGGTATCAGTGATTTTCCCTGTCTCCCCTAGCTGCACCAGGATCTTGGTGGCGTCACACTTGATCTTCTCGAACAGACTCTGCAATGAGTTCTTGAGGTGGTCCAAGGTCTTGCTGGTCTCCTTGTAGTCCTGCTCATACCTGTCCGCCTCCTCCGTGGTATTCTTCAGTTTCTCCTGGCGACAAATCCCGGTTCCCACCAAGGTCAGCCGGGCTGACACCATGGGCTCAGCCCACCATGGGGACTTGCAGTGGAAAGGGGGCTTTGGGACCCTCTGGGGCCAGGGTCTCCAAACTACAGGGTTTCAAACCTCTCAAGGGATGCGAGACCAAATTAATGGGCCTCAACCAGCATTTTTAACAAATGAAATAAAAAATTTCCTGGTGAGGACACTGCGGCTCCGAGGCACACAGCCAAAACGGTTAAAGCCAGGATTTGAACTTAGTTTCGTAACCACCACACCTGGCAGCTTCCTTCTGCCGGCTACTAGAATATTCAGTTCCCAGGACTAAAAATTCCTCACCTGGCAGCTGTTATAAAGATGTAAATAGGTCACATGGTTTAAAAAAAAAAAAAATCACGTAATTTTTTAAAAGGTCACACGGTCAGCCGGATGTGACCTAAATAACCACCTCTGTTATGTGTCCAGCACCTTCGATGTTCCAGGCTCTTTATGCGCATTGTCTCAGCTCATCCTCACCATTGCCCCATTTTTCAGATGAAGAACATTGAGTTCAGAGAAGAAAACTGACTTTGTATTGAGCTCATATACATGCCTAAACATGGGCTAAACTCTACTTGGTAATAATTCATTTACTAACAAGGTCATGGTGATTCCAATGTTTTACTAACTTACATGATAACAACAATAATAATAGCTACTGTTTACAGTTCTCTGCCGGGCTGTGTGCCAAATATACATGTGCATAATTCATTCAACAGTCACAGCCCTAAGAAGCGGGTATCTTCTGTTGTTGCTGTGTGTCATCGAGTCGATTCCAACTCATTGCAACCCTATAGGACAGAGCAGAACTGCCCCATAGGGGTTCCTAGGCTGTAATCTTTATGGGGGAGCCCTCGTGGTGCAGTGATTAACAGCTCGGCTGCTCATCAAAAAGTCGGCAGTTCGAATCCACCAGCTTCTCCTTGGAAACAGAAGGACCTGGGGCCCCCAGACACGTGCCCAACTGGGGAGCGTCTCCTTGGTCCTGGATCCAGCTTGGAAGCCTGCGATTCCCTGTGCCCCGCTGGGCACGTAGCTGAGCGTGTACTTTGCTGCCCCCCAGTGGCCCATCAGAGAATGGCACTGCCATCCCTGTCCCCGAGGTGCAAGGGTGCTGGCCAAGGAGGACAAAACAAGCCACAGAGAGAAGGAGGGGAACCAGAAGCACAGTTCCTGGGCCAACAACTATTAACTTAGAGCAGAGCTTTAGAGTTGGACTCTCTGGGTTCATATCTTCGGCCAACATTGACACACAACGTCCATTCTCCCCTTATACTTAATAACAAAACTGGTTGTATTTGAGGTGGCAAGGTGCCCAGCTATAAGTGTTATTCCCAATCCTCCCTTGCAAAAGGGATGTCCAATGATATGTAAACACAGAAGTCATTGGCTGGAACTTCTGGAAAAGTACTTGTAAGGTGGCTGACTCAGCTAGAGAGGCCTTTTTTGCCCCCCCCCCCAGGATGACTATGGAAACCCTGGGGGCATAGTGGTTAAGAGCTATGGCTGCTAACTAAAAGATCGGCAGTTGGAATCCACCAAGTGCTCCTTGGAAACCCTAAGGGGTGGTTCTACTCTTTCCTATAGGGTTACTATTAGTCAGAAGCGACTAGACGGCAACAGGTTTTTTGTTTTTTGTTTTTAATAGGGTTGCTGGAAACCCTGGTGGTGTAGTGGTTAAGAGCTACAGTTACTAACCAAAAGGTTGGCAGTTTGAATCCACCACATGCTCCTTGGAAACCCTATGGGGCAGTTCTACTCTGTGCTGTAGGGTTGCTATGAGTTGGAATCGAATTGATGGCAACGGGTTTGTTTGTTTGTTTTTTTTATAGGGTTGCTATGAGTCGGAACCAACTCAATGGCAACTAACAACAACAACAACATTTTCTTCATGCTTGGGATGTAGATGTGATGGCTGAGCCTGTGGTAGCCATACTGCAACCAAGAGGCAGCCTTGGGAATAGAAGCCACACACTAAGGATGGCAGAAAAAAAAAAATAGAAGACGCTTAGGATGCTAAGCCACCAAGACATCATAAAGCCACCAACTAGCTCTGGAGTACCTATCTCCTGACTTATTTCTTAACAAAGTGAACAAAATTCTATCTTGCTAAGCCACTGTTATTTTGGTCCTGAGGAGGCCTGGTGGCGCAGTGGTAAAAACTCTCAGCTGCTAACCAAACAGTCAGTGGTTCGAACTCACCAGCTGCTCTGCAGGAGAAAGATATGGCAGTCTACTTCCGTAAAGATTACGTCCTTGCAAACCCTATGGGGCAGTTCTGCTTGGTGCTATAGGGTTGCTATGAGTCGGAATCGACTCCATAGCAGTGGGTTTGGGGGTTGTTTGCAGCTAAATGTAATTCAAACCTCATATACTATCCTAGTGCCATGATGTTGGTCAAGTGACTTTACCTCTTGAACCTCAGTTTCATCATCTGTAAAATGGAGAGATCAACAGCACCCACCTCATCAGGTTGTTGCAAGGATTAAATGAGATAGTATAAACAAAGCACATAGCCCAGTGTCTGGTATGTAGTAACTGCATACGAAATGTTCGCAATTACTATTGTTGACAGAGAGCAGGGCACAGCCAGGTCAACAGGGAGAGAGAAGAAAAGACTGAAGCAGAGAGACATCTGGAAGGAGCCAGTCCATGGGCCTGGGCTGAGAGGAGGGAGGGCTTTAAAATGGATGGAGAGGCCCTAGGGACAAAATTCTGCGGCAATACTTGTAGTATCAAAGGCTGCCTATGACAGAGGGTTCAGGACATGTTCAAGTACATCTAGGTCAGTGGCAGGTAATGGAACAGATATTTTACTGCTCCTGATAACTGACTGACAGCCTGCCTGCCTGACAGACAGACAGACAGACAACGGAGTGGCCCACCTCCCTCCCTCCCTGCCCTGTTCTTACCTCTAGTTGTTTCAGGGCTGAACGGCTGTCATCATGGGAAGATTTCTGCTGGGATCGCAGGAGGATGATCTCGTCCTGCTCAGGAGAGAATCAGACCATGAGGAAAAGTGGGCGCTCCCCTCCCTCATCACACCCTAAAAATAAGCCTGCACCTCAGGGAGGGGTTGGGGATTATCATTTGTTTACGGGAGCCCCAGAATCCCTGGGCCCCCATTATGCCTATGGCAGTGCTTCCTGCTATTTCTTGATTAAAAGGAGGGTGAGGGCATGGGAAGGTCGGTGGTTCATGTTTTCTGAAGACTTTTCTAGAATATTGCAAGCAACAGAATTTTCTGCAATGGTGGAAACGTTCTGTCTGCTCTTCCCAATACCATAGCCACTAGCCACCTGTGTGTATTGAATACTTGAAATGTGGCTCAAGTGGAATGATTTGAAAATTTTATTTAATTTTGATTGGGAATCACTGAGTGGTGCAAATGATAAACTCACAAACAGACTGGACTATCAGACACAAAACGATATCTGTGAAGAGTGTGCTTCCTAGTTCAGGTAGACACACAAGACTAATTGGGCAGCTCCTGTCCAGAGGCGAGATGAGAATTCAGAAAGAGATAGGAGCTGGTTGAATGGACACGGGAAATCTGGGGCAGAAAGGAGGAGCGTGCAGTCACATTATAGGGATAGCAACTAGGGTTACATAACAATGTGTGTATAAATTTTTGTATGAGAAACTAACTTGAGCTGTAAACTTTCACCCAGAGCACCAAAAAAAAAAAAAAAAGAACGAAAGAAAGAAACTTGCTCAGTGGTCAAGCAAAAGCTTGGCAGTTCGAGTCTACCCAAAGGCATCTCGGAAGTAAGGCCTAGAGATCTACTTGCAAAAAACCAGCCATTGAAAACTCTGTGGAATGCAGTTCTACTCTGACACACAAGGGGTCGCTACAAGCCAGAATCAACTCCACAGCAACTGGTAGGGTAAGGTAGGTGTTTGTAATTAATTTGAACTTAAAAAGTCACTTGTGGCTACTAGGCACTGTATTGGAAGGTGCGTCTTTAGAGGTTTTCAGACTCTACCTTGAATCACAATCACCTGAAGGGCTTGTGAAAACAAGTGCTGGCTGGACCCCACCCCCGAGTTTCTGATTCTGTAGATCTAGGATGGGGCTGAGAATTTGCATTTCTAACAAGTTCCCAGGGGATTCTGATGCTGCTGCGAGGTGACCAATTTTGAGAACCAGCGGGCTAGAGCAACTTGTCCAAATGTAAAAGGCACACACTCCTCGACAATTCCATCCCTAGGAATCTGTCCTATGGAACTAATAGGACAGGTGGGCAAAGATGGGAGCCCAAGGCCATCCGATGTGTTATTATTTATAATGGCCCCCAGTTAGGAGAACCTAAATGTCTACCGGTAGGGAGCGGTTACATCAATGAGGGTACATTCATATAGTTGGAGATGGGGATCTCAAATAAAAATATGGTTAAATTGCAGATTCCTGGCCCATCCTCAGAATATCTGGCTCTGTACGTACAGGAAAGGAGCCCTGGTGGCACAATGCTTAAGCACTTGGCTGCTAAGCAAAAGCTCAGTGGTTTGAACCCACCCAGCAGCTCTGAGGGAGCTCCTAACAACAACCAGGTACATGATAGGACCTGGGGAGTCTGCATTTTCAAGAAGCACCCCATGATTCTAATGCTGAGGATCCAAGGTCCCCAGAAGCTGCTACAAAGAATATGGAAGATATCTAGGCAGATATCTAGGCTACTATGTTGAAAAAATATTTACAGAACAGCATGAACCAGCTAGTATGATCCCACTGTAATAAATGGACATCTGGGGGGGGGTGTCTATGTCTGTGTGGGTCTGC